CCTCGACGCAGGGAACGCAGGTAGGGTCAGACCCCGGAGTGAGGGGAGGGAGGGACCGGGGGAGACCAGAGACAAGGACACGGGAGGCCATGCCTCGGAGACGAGGCAGGGAGGGGTGACCAAGGCGGTGGTGCCAGAGGAGAGTCTGGTGGGACAGGAGACGACACGAGCAGGGAGCAGACTCAGGACCAGACCTGGACGCTGCAGCAAACACCTGACCCGACGCAGCTACCTGACCAGACTCAGCAACCGGAGGAGACTCAGTAGTCAGTGTGTACAGGCTCGACCCCGGCTGACGGGTAAACGTGGCCAAGTGTCGGCCCGTCCGAGCACACGTACAGTGGGTCACTTGCTGACTCGCAGGAGTGAACTGGTCAACCCCCCCATCCTGTAGATCAGCACCACTCACCAAGTTCGTAGAGAACGAGGGGAGGTAGAGACCTGACAGGGTGCCAGAGGGGGCTGCCGGACACGGCAAGACAGTGGAGAAGTGGGCAAGGACAAGACCCCCAGAGGGGTCCGCCAGGGAGACCGCAACTGGCCGACTAAGCGGCGTAAGCGTGGTGCGGTCTCGAAAGAAGGAGCGGGAAGCACCCGAGTCAAGGGTGAAGGTGTGTAAGGCCTGAGCCGACGTGGTACCTGAGAGAGCAGACTCACCAGCACCTGGGGCAGCAGACGCACTAGCACCTAGAGCAGTAGCCTCACCAGCACCTAGAGTAGCAGCCTCAATGCCCGGGTCAGGCGGAACACACAGGTAACAGTCACCCTCATCACTAGTAGGCAATGCATACATGGCAGTGAGGATTGCATCATAGTCAAGAGTATAGATATCTACCCGCAGCCTAAGCAGCTCCACCCAGTCGGGGAGCTCAGCCGCGTCGCCAAACTCCGTACGCCAGGCGTCGCTTAGACGGGCGAAGCAGCGGGACTCTGCGTGACCAAACGTCCCGCAAGGCTGACCAATCCGAGCACCAGTGCGAATGACGTACGGACAGCGAGCAGTACCCCGTGACCCGCCACGCTGAGCGTAGCACTCACGAAGCTGCTGGGGCGAAAGGACCGCGCACGGACGACGCTGCAGCTGCACCTGGCCACTACAAGCAGCTGCCAAACTACTCACTCCAGGACGACTCCCACTACGGCCACCCCGACAACCCCAAGTAGCGTACCACTCACGAAGCTGTTGGGGCGTGAGGGACTCACGCGGACGTCGCTGGAGCTGCATCTGGCCACCGCCAGGAGCAGCAGGAGCAGTGGTAGCCGCAGTAGCAATAGCAGTAGTCGCAGCGCGGCCATCCCTATAACCCCAACTAGTGTACCACTCACGAAGCTGTTGGAGGGTGAGGGACTCACGCGGACGGCGCTGGAGCTGCATCTGGCCACGCCAGGAGCAGCAGTAGCAGTAGAAAGAGCAGTAGCAGCAAGAGCAGCAGTAACAGAGGATAAATGCTTATTGCACCAAGTTTTTTACATTACGTTATTTTGGTATTCTACTAGAGCGCGCGCCTCGCACTTATCTCAAAGTTACATTCGCCGTGTTGAATTGTGAGTCCAAAACGACATATTTGTTATTGGTAATACATATAACCTTCCCTATCGAAACGCACATACAGGAAAAAATATAACCCGTTCTGATACGGGTGCGACTCGGGAGGCATCAACCCTAAACGCCATGAATGTTTGTTTGTAGGGTTGATCCATCCCGAAAATGCATCCAGGTTCTCTAGGGGTTTTAGTTATTTTGGATGCCCTAAGAGGTTCTGGCTCGACAAACGACTCTATTGGGTGGAAGGTCATGAATCATTAACGATTTCCATGAATTAATGACGCGCGAGCGAAAATGCAAATATTAAACAAACACAAGTGCAAAACCGATGTCTTTCTGCAAATATCTCTCTGCGCAGTGGTTTGGTTAGTTTCGGGCCTCTCGGCCCCTGGTTGATCACCTCTCTGGCACTGTTTGGCCTCTGTACAGTAAGATCTTTTCCCATGTATTGGGAACTTCGTGTGAGCATCACTGGATCCGATCTCTTCCCACGCGCACAATTGTTCGGAGGAGCAAAGGTCGGTCTTACGACCTGGTGTACTGGCCAACTTTGACGAAGATAATTATCGGTGTTACCAAATCATTGGCACAATAAACTCTCTGACGCGTAAATCGTAACAGTTGCTGACGCATAGGACAAATTTTGCAAATACAAGCACTGATGTTCGGAATCTTCTTCCGTTTCACTGCATACCAGGCAATCGTTGTTCAACCAGGGTACGCAGATTGCAAATATGCAATTCGATCCGCATCAACCTTACTTGATCATGTGGCCAATTATACTGTATTAGTAAGACAGCACTATGGGGTAGAAACTTTGCTTTCAGGAAACAAGTTTTGTACAAGCAAAATCACAGCCGAGTTCAAAGATTCATATGGCGCTAAAGTAGTGTAACACGGAAGCGTTTTTTTTTTGCCGCGGTTGTTTTTTGTTTGCTGGCTTTGGGTTTGTGGTCAATATGTCGTTTTCGATTTTAAATTCACGTGTTGCATTGAACTGATTTTGAACTGTACACTTACCCACCAACCAGCGAATTTAGGGAAGACTGTACACGGAGCAGTTTAGGTGGTGGAAAGGCTTTTTTGTAAAGTTCTTGCAGGGGAATTTAACTCATTTTTTTCTCCTTCTAACCATACAGAGTTTCCATATGTAATGTACAACGTTTTTTCCTTTTTTTCTGCGTTTGGTAGGTTTCCGTATGCTGGATTTGAGATGGCGGTCAATCTGTCGTTTCGATCATAGTTCACATGTCGTATCGAACTGACTGTGGGAGGTGAATTGGGGTATCGAATCGTGACAAACCTTCTGCACCGTGCGTTTTCGTTTTCGGTCGTTCTTTACCGCCCGTCTCTTCCTCCTCCCTTTTCCTCCCTCTGAATCTGTCGTTTCCTTTCGGAGCATCTCGAAGGAGGGAAATTATATGGGCAGTCACAATTAAAACGAGGGTCTAGATTTGACAAGCGGGGGTTCAGAAGTTTTTGGGGCTTGCCAGGCTTGCCAGTTTTTGTTTTGAACCAGGCTTGCCAGCGCGAAAGTGTTGGCTAACGAAAACCTGGATTTCGTGCGACGGCGCAGTCCCACATCACAATTGTCCGTGTGACTGCGTCCCTCCCACGTTCGCATCTCACCCGCTCAATCACCACCAATCACCACTCGATCATCCTTCCACTCCCATATTCCAACCAATCAGCCTCCCAAAACCTCGCCTTTCCCCACGTGGACACGACGTGTCCGTCCCTTCCGACGATCAGTTGGTCCCCGCCTAGACCTCGCAGCTCCCCCCATGTCGCTTCTCGTGCCCCTCCTGTCCCTCTGTCCCCCAAACCCTCGTCCCCTCACACGTGCCGCTGCCTGAGACCCCGTCGTCGACAAGACAAGTGCCCCTTCTCCCATTGTTCCCCCTACCCATTCCATTTCCCTCCTGCATGCTCCTGCCTGAGGTCCCTCCCTGCCCATACACAACAGACACTACAGAAGAGTGAGACCCTAGACACGTATTTCCTCGTCCCGATTCCTTTCTTTTCACGCGGTGTTGCTGCTTGAGGTCCTTCAAACCCAGTTGTCCTCAACCTCCAAGCCTTGTCTGCCTCAGGTCTTCGTCCTTGTTCCTATCGCATGATTCGCGTCCCTCTCATCAGCTTGGCCATCTCGCTTCAGCCTGGCAAACGTGAACCTCATACACCCAACCTTTCCCCTGCGCCTTCAGGCGTTAACTCTAGACCTTGGATCCAACACATTTGCAGTTTCGATAATCAGTTCTTGGTGAGATTCTACTCCAACAGAAAATGTCGTATCCGGTAAACGCCGACGATTTGCGTGCAGCACTAGAGGAGCTTCTCTCCACCCGCGCTCTGCTCTCTCGAACGAACGGCTCTGCTGCTTGCTGTGAGGAAACCACCCGACAATCTGACGCCTTGGAACACGAAAGTTACTCACAGCGAAAACCAAGCGCGACATCGTCGTCGACCCGCGTTGCACGCTCGGGCGCGCAAAGACTCTTCGCGCCACGCAACTCGTACGCCTCTTGTCAATTCGCCAAGGTGTCCATTGCGACACCTGACTGCTTCGACACCAGCGACATGCTCAACTCGACGGACGACCTTGTTGAGACTCCCACCGTCGATGGCTCTGTCTCGTGCCACTACGCATGCGCGGATTCTGCGGCGGACGAGGACGCGGAGAACGAGTTGCTGGATTTGGAAGAGTTCATGGCGGCTCAGCTGCGCGCCGACGGCGACGGCGACTGCGCGGACGGCGACGCGGATGGCGGCGAGTGCCACCTCGAGTCGTGCAACTGCCCGCGCAGCCGCAGCAATCGAATAAACTCCACCCGCAACTCAAGCGTTTCCGAGGCTGATCCCTGCAACGGCGACGCTGAATGTGACGAGGATGAGTCGTCGGGGTCCGTCGCAGGCGACGAGGATGACTCCGCGGACCATCATAGAGGCGACGATAGTACCACGCGGGATTTCGGCGTGTGGGAATCGCGTCGAAGCACGCTGTCGTGCAAAAGCTGGGACGATTTGGAACTGTCGTGCGCAGATCTGGATGCTCAGAACGTTCAGATCCTAGAGTTGGACCTGACGCTCATGCTCAGACGTCCAGCCGATGCCGATGTTCGCTGCGACCTGTTGACTGTTGAGTACCTGGCTTCGCCCGCCGCTCCGGCCATGGCTGCAGCTTTTTAAAATCTTGGAGCCGGAATGAGAGCTCTTTTTTAGCTTGTACGTATAGTGGCTTTTACTCCTGCTATGGTGGAAGCACGTCAATATTAAATTAAAGAAGCGAGAGCTAAGCTTCTTGTCTCACCCTGGATTCGAAGTGTTAATGCTGATCTCACGGTGGGGAACTTACTGTCGTCAGATGCCTTGCTGGTCAATGTTTCAAGCACAACAGCAACACTATATACATCTCAAACAGAACGGAATGTTGGTAAAATCGAGCAAGATTCTCTCAAATCTGCTGCAGGTCAGCTAGACTACATCTTCCAGCCTCTAGAAGTCCAACCATAGAAACTAATGGAGTCATGAAGAACCCAAGCACTGCCGCCATCACAGCTTTGAAGATCTGGGGCCCTGGCCAGTCGGGGATGTCAACGTTTCCATGCCAGAGAGCCAGTAGGGGGACCAGGCATAACGGCCAATAGGGAATTGCAATAAGTGCAGAGCACATTGCTCCCCTAAGAACCGAAAGGACGAAGCGGAGGAAGCGATGTGGCCCTGGCTTTGGCTTGTTCGCGACGAAGTCAAAGTCTCCCCGGCAAAGAATCCAGCGTATGACCGAGTCCAAGAAGAGAAAACAGTTCCACGTGCCACAACTGTGGCCACTTGTAGGCTTTGCAGGGGGGGAACCGTCAAGTGCCTTGCTGCTGTTGCTATCAGCATCGGCAGCGGCGGCAGCGGGTTCACCAGGAGGAGGAGTGACTGCACCAGAGGCAGAACCGTCAGCAGGGAAGTCTTGGAGTGGACGAGGTGCATGCTGATAAAAGATTGGCTGGATTCGTTCTGATTTCACATCCAGCCTGTGGGGAATGTGCAGGGAAGAAAGCGAGAGGGGAGGGGGGGGAGGAGAAAGAGAGAGAGGGAGAGGGAGAGAGAGAGAGAGAGAGAGAGAGAGAGAGAGAGAGAGAGAGAGAGAGAGGGAGAGAGGGAGAGAGGGAGAGAGTGAGAGAGGGAGAGAGGGAGAGAGGGAGAGAGAGGGAGAGAGAGAGAGAGAGAGAGAGAGAGAGAGAGAGAGAGAGAGAGAGAGAGAGAGAGAGAGAGATGTGGTGGTTGAGAGGCTCTGATGTTCATGGTCGATGGGCTCGTGCATCATCGCGACCAGACAGACCATCGGATTTCAAATGGCCTTCAAAAGACTTGCATGCAACATCAACGGGCAGCGTGGTTTCGCGTCAACGAATAGACATCACATCCCTCGCTCGCCGTTCAACCACCCTCATTCTCCCACAGTTCGCACCCAATGCCGCAACTTCCATCCCCTCATCTCACCTCGTCAGCAGTCCAGCAATGACCCACGTCAGCGTGCCTTGAATCATGATCGTCACGATCGCATCACCAGCAAGGCTGTTCGGCAGCTCCCATACACGCACGGGATCGGGCGACCCGCGGTACATGGCCGTGGCAATGCCGAAATTAGCTCCAGCGTCTAGAATAGCGGATCCCACGCCTTGTACCACCAGAAGATAGATTATCTGCGAGCGGGAGAGCTGGCTCCATGTGGACCGGGAGAAGAGGAGGATGGGAGGACGATCCGGCTCGGTCGAGCAAGATGCGGGTTCGGGAGACATAGAGATGGCGTGGGCTTGGATAATGCGTGTCCTGGGGGCGAGAGGACTAGGTGAAACTAATGGGATGTTAGGAGGAAAACTTGCTGACCCCTCGCAGACTTTGTTTCTAAAGTTGTTGCGCACTCTGGCTCGAAATATGGCATTCCTGGGATGGCAACAGCAGTATCTCAAACCCGTCATCCTAGCACTTGAGGAAGGATTTGAATTGAACAAAAGTGTAGAAGGGTGTTGCCTGCAAACACCAACACCGAAATTCCATGTTCCCGGAACCAGACGATTGGGTTTGGTTGGTGGTCTGCTGGCATAGATTTCATCTGGTCTGGCTGGCCTCGATAATAACCCGCAAACTGGGAGTGCACACTCACACTGCGAACCTCTTCAGCTGACACCCTCGTTTATTGCAAGGAATTTCTCCTAATTCCTTACTCACAACTCCAACTAGGTACGACGACCTCGCGTCCACCGCGTAGCCTTCGCGGTCTAGGGTTTCTCCTAACCTTGCGCGGTCCCGCGACCTCGACCTAGCTAGCCTTCGCTATATCTGTGCTAGGTCTCATTATTCTAGCACTAGTTGTAATCACTTCCACGATTTTGTATTCTGCGCACTCTTCTTCTTACAACTCATAACACTTGGTATCAGAGCTACTTTCCTAGGTTACCCTTGCATTTCTGGGGTAATTTATTGGAGGGGTGCAATAGACCTGGTGGGCTGCAAAGCGGTCGGCTGAAAAATAGATACAATTATTTCGCTCCGACTAAGCTGGCGTTTGCGCCAGGGCTCTTGCTAGGATTTAAGCCCGTCTGAAAAGTATATACCAAAAAAAGGTTTCGTCTGACGTTCAGACGGGGAATCTTTTCTGGTCTGGTTTTTAAGACGAAGGAAAAAGCCATGTCTGAAATTTCAGATGAAATAATAGTGGTCTGTTTTTGTTTTTCAAATTTGAATTGTGTACTGTTTTACTTGTATCAGACAGAGCGACACAACCTAAACAGGTTTGGGCTGCGACGCGCGAGAGCGGGAATGGGGCAGTGGGGCAGGTGTTGGCCTGCGAGAGACAGGGGAGTGGGGGGCTTGGGCTACGTACGAGACGGACAGGGGGGGAAGGGGCATGAGTGCTGATTTAGGAGATTGTGGCGGGGCGGGAGGGAATTCGAGGTAAGGGCGCGTAACCATTTTGCACCCGAAGGTTCGAACTGTGGACGGTCCGTCGTGGCGAATGTAACTGGCTTCGCTGGTTATCGTTTAGGATTTCGCGGAGGTGTTGGCAGACGTCGCCAACCTAACGGACTGTCGTGACACTTTTTCACATTTCCAACACTCCGCTTTGTGAACCGCGGACTGTCCGAAACCCAAACGGACGGTCCACCATTTCTGGCTAGGTATTGGTGGGCGAATTTAAATGTACAGTAAATCATAACGACCCGCCAACGAAGCTAATACCGAAAATGTCGCGAGGTAAATTACGAAGATACAAGGCCTCTAACGAGGCTACAGTAGTCGCAAAAATCAACAACCCCAAATTAGTGTCACATTAGCCTTCGGACAGTCCGAAGTTGCAAAAATTTGATTCGGACGGTCCCGTTCTCGAGAATAGAACCGTCCGCTTCGTTCTAAGCGGACTGTCCGTCGAAAACGTAAAATGCAAAATGGCTACGCGCCCTAAGCTGGCTTTGTTGGGCGGCTGGGTAGTGGGGAGGAGCGAGGAAATTCGGGTCTTGGGAGGCTGAAGCGCGTGGGGGGTAGGGGGAAGAGGGAAGCACTCGGTACTTTGGTGTCAGACGAAAACGTACGCATTATCTGATTTCTCAGATGAAGTATAACGCCGAGTATGATTTTCCAGACGAAATAAAATTTCTGGTCTTATGGATCAGACGAACTAAAATTGCTTGTCTTCAAAATCAGATGAAATAGAAAAAGTAGGTCTGATTTTCAGACCATCAGACCAATTTGGTCTGATAACAAGGACCCTGGTTTGCGCCTTCATCAAGGTCATAAAAATCGTTGTAAACCCCCTGCCGGTTAGGATGAGCCTAAGAAATATGAAGCAGGCTGAATTTGACGCGTTCATGCATGACATTTGGGCGGTGCAAGCCAACTTGTCAAGCATGTCTGACGAGGTGGAGCGCTTGAGGGTGGAAAACGCCGAGCTACGCAAGGCGCGAGGTGAAGCGCGTGTTGAGATAAGAACGTAGTTAGACACTAGGTTTTGTTATGAATAGTAATACTTGAATGTTACTGTGCACTCCTCACCGCAGCAAAGAGAAGCACGCAGTATCGCAAATGAACGCGAAGCGTCAGACGGTTGGAAACGACCCGAAGCGTCAGACAGTTGGGACGCATCTGAACCGTCGGAGCAGACAGCATCAGGCAGCTGCAGGCAGGATGGTTTCGACGGGAACAGTTTCGTAACTGTTCGCGCCGCACAGTTGGGAATGTATTTGAATAAGGGAATGTACCCCTTAGAGTACATGGCTAGCTAGGTCGATTCATATTCCCTTGTACTCTTATTTATATCGTTGTATCTGCATGTCTTAACCATCTCAAGCATTTACATTCACTCTGCTATTGAGGTCAAGGGCCCACCAACATCACTTCTCTGCGTGCGAACCTTCCTGAGTAGATCCTAGGCCACGATCAACTTCTGATCGCAGCATGGTATGAGAGCGACTCAGGAATCCTTCGCATCGCCATCTCCGAAATCTGCGACATTCGGAAAGTGGCGTCCGGCACACGATCACGTGTAAGAATGGCCGGAGGATCTGGAGGTTAGACGAATCTGACGGCTGAAGCGCAGCCCAACCCGGCTGCGACAAACGAGGAAACGACGACGATTCCTTCCGCCGTCCTCGCACAACTGCTTCAGCGACTCACGAGCCTGGAGCAAGGGCTCCAGACATTGCGGAATGGCGATGCGGGAACTTCTTCCCAACCCACTCAACCGGCCCCAAACGGCCAAGACTCCGCCCTGCAAGGCTTCTCCCTAGATACGAACGGCTCAACCCCCAAGACTCCCTGTCCCAGCGATGAAGCAATTCTCTCCGCGCAATCAAGGTTTTTGAGCATATCAAAAATAAAGACAAGTGTGTGCTTTGACGGCAGAGACTTTTACACCTGGAGCTTCGAGCTGGAGCTGCTGCTGCAAAACGCGCAGATTTATCATTTTTTCGACGGGAGCTACTCGGGACCTGCTGAGGACACCGACGACGCAAGGACTCGCTATTATAACGAGTCCCTGATGGCGTACGGGATTCTTCTGCGTAACATGTCGCCGGCAGAGCAGCTGAACATTCGTTCATACAAGACATCGACTGCCCCAGCCCTCGACGCTTGGCGCCACCTGAACGGCGTGTATCAGCCCAAGGACTCCGTCTCCTCGAGCCGACTACTCCAGCAACTGCTGGAAACTAAGATTACCTCAGGGGAGAAGGTCAACAGCTACATCAACCGCTGTCGGAGCCTTCGCGATCAAATCGTGAAGTTGGGAAGCTCGATTTCCGAGGAAATCTTCGTGAACATTGTGCTTCAAGGGCTTGGCCCAGAGTGGCGGCCCTGCAAGGCGCTCCTCCGACAGCAGGGGGTCATCTCGGAGGCCGCCCTTTGCGCCGCCCTTCTTGTCGAACAACGGGATATGGATCAGCAGCGACCAGCGCCACGACGAGAACGCGAACGGCTCGCCTTCTACGCCGACAACAACGAAGAGCGACGACCGCGGCGCCTCTACTGCAAAATCTGCAGAAACTTCGGGCATTTGGCGGATCGATGTAAGTTCCGATCTCGCCCTCGCCAGACCAATCCGAGCAACTGGTCCGGCCAACAAGACGCACGAGGCGACGTGCGTCCAGCCCAAGGGTATCAACCCCCACCCGCACGCAATCTGAACTCAACCGTTCAGCATCAGCAGCAGCAGCCATCAACTGCCCCTACGCGCAACGTCATGAGCAACATGGCCATGACAGGCGAGTCACGTCGTCGCCGTGCTCGCTCACCCTCACCTGTGCCAGCACCGCACCCCATCGGCGCGTTCACCAACAACAACCCGTTCAGCCCGCGCCGCGACTACAACGACGACGACGACCAGGACTGGAACCTCCCAGTCCCGCTGCTTGAAAGTCCCCCGCACATACCAGACATGCGGGTGGCGCCACTTGATTGGCTCTCGCGCGAGCAATTTCTGAAGTTCGACACCCCGCACATCGTCACACCGCGATTGGCGCTGCTCGCACGTGACGACAACAAGCGCTACAACACCTGGTACCTGGACAGCTGCTGCGGCCAGCATATGGTGGGCTCCGAGCGTTACATATCCAACGCCGTCCCCACCCATACAGTAACTTACGTCACTGTGGCGAACAACACGCGCCTGCGCGCAAGCGCACAAGGCATCGTCGTGCTCAAAGCACGAGGAAGCCGCACGCACATCACGCTTAACGATGTGCTGATCATCCAGAACCTGCGCTTCAACCTCCTGTCCGCCGCATAGCTCATGGACTGCGGCGTCGACCTCAGCATGGATCACGAGACACGAGACATCCTGCTGCACTACGAATCGAGCACATTTCCCCGCAGGCAGATCGGACGAGCGCACTCCGAAAATGGAGTGTATGCCCTAGATTTCGACATTCCCGACTGCAGCGGCGACTCGCACGAGTTGATTGATCTCGTGCCACTTCGCTTCGAGCACATCCACCGCAGGGATTGGAAGCACCCTGACGGCAGACCGTGGGTGCCGCATCATCCCCATGTCAGAACTAGCAGTAGAAAGTAAGAATGAAGAAAGGAGGAGGTTCACTAGCAAGCAGTTGGATACATATAGCAAACCCTAATT